GACTTCAACTCCCAGAATTCCTCCTCTTGCTCTTCATCTTGATGATGTGCAGACAGGCGGGGGGAGGGAGGTGGAACTGGTCTAAACCGCACGGTAGATTTGTGGAACCTCTTCTATAGAAGAGGTTAGAACTGGCAGGAGCCCACCCCTGGTGTGCATGCACACCAAATCATCCCCTGCCCCCAGCCATCACCTCTTTCAATCTGCCGAGCTAGAAAGGTTGGAGGTTGCTGTTGTAATGAAATCACATTTTCCTAGATCAGTGGCCCCCAATTGTTTGGGCACCAGGGACCAGTTCCGTGGACCGGTTGCTCTGCGGTCTGAAGTGTGTGGGGTTTCACGTGCTTTCCGCATCCCACGGATTGGACTTAGCTTGTTTCCACAGCCCTGTTTCTGGTATGTGTGGCCCTTTGCTGATCCAGAGTACTAGATCAGAATTTTGAACTTGTTGACATGTCACTTGGGTTCAACAAGACTGTCTTTCTCCTGAGCTTTCATTGTTCAGATTTAAGGTAGGGCTTTGTACCCAAAGGGAAAAAATTGAGGTCCCTCACCAGTTGGTCAGTAGCAGGAAAGCTAAAGATGTTTAGAATAGCATCTGAAGCGCCTTATCAGCTTTCTGTCGACCCTTGAAAAATAAGAAATATACTGCTTTCAATTTTCCCCAAATGGCGTTATAACTATTATCTTTCCCAGCTCATGTCATGATCTTTGCTAAACTGAACACCTATAAATAGGGCTGTGTCTCACACTCTGTATTGCAGAACATCAGATAGATGCAGGAGAAAGAGTTAATGATTGCTGCGTAAGAGGAGACATCATTTATTCAACTATAAGCAGGATGCGATCCTATTTTAAATCTCAGAAATGTGTGTCATCTAACCATTTACAACAGAACTGACCTGACACAGGAAAATATTGGGACAGTTTGATGTTCTACATTAGACGATATTGTAAATCAGTGTTTGTCAAACTTGGGGACTTTAAAATGTGTGGATTTCAACTCCCGGAATTTCCCAGCCTCCTTAAAGCTGCCAAGTTTGGCAAACTGTTGTAAATGAAACAGAAGAAGAATGAACAGGAATTGCAAACCAACAAAGAATACACGGGCACAATCTCTTTGTCGAAAATCAGAAGGCATTTTTAGCCAAATTTATTTTCTGAAGAAAAACACTGAAGAGATTTGATCTGAATCCCCGACTAGCCTTTTCTCTGGATCTTAGATACATCATTTCGGATGCTTTTATCCAGTTGCTAATCAAAATAATCTCCCTCATCATACAAAGACTTTCAATTTCATCCCTATTTGAATTTTGAACCTATAAATGTGTTTTTGACTTATTTCAAAGACAGGATAGTGTAAAACTTTTATCCCTTAAAACGAACATAGGCGAGAACGAGAACGCTCGCTCTAATTGGAGGTAAAGAAGGAAAAGATTTGGTTAAAATTCTTCTTCAGCATTTTTGCTGTGGCTTTGCTTCAGCTGCAGCAACCTTTCTACTGTTTCGGGCACAGTACGTTCACCATGAATCTTGTTGTCTCTCGTACGGATGTTCACAGTCCCACAGGCCTTCTCTTTCTCACCAACAACTAAAAGGCAGATAGAGAGGAAGAAAGTGAAGAAAAACAAGTTAACATCAGAAAAGGAGATGCAATGCATTACTATAAAATACTGAAAAGTGATGGTGCCTTCATTATTATGGGCAGAAAACGATCATTGTCATGACTATCATAATGGTATGGAAAAATTATAGGGTTTCCATCTATACCAGGGGTGTCGAGCTGGATTTCATTGAGGGCCGTGTCAGGGTTGTGTTTTACCTCAGGGGTGTGTGTGTGTTTGTGTGGCCATGGTGGCGTGGCCAGCTTGACATCAGTCATGTTGAAGGGACCTGTGGTGGCCTGAGGGCTCTTCTAGTGAAAATAGGTTCCTGAGCTCAGTTTTCGGCCACAACGGCCTCTTGAAGCCCTCTGACAGTGAAAACAAAGCTCAGGGGGGAATGGGGAGCCACACGCATCCCCTTTTCACTGTCATATGGCTTCAGGAGGCCATCGTGGCCTAAAATGGCGCATGGGAGGGGTGCTCATGGCCTCCTGAGCTCCTTTTCGTTGACAGAGGCACTGCGGGCCCGTCCTTCACTGTTTCCAGGGCAGCCCCGCTGGCAGACCCTACATCATTTCTGAAGGGGTGTGTGTGTGAGTGGGTTTATGTAATAATTGTGTTTGATGTTGTCATTTTGGCATGAAAACAGCATGACATTTTGTTAGTTCTTTCAAAAAAAATATTTTTAAAAAATATTGCTCAGGAGAAGGCTGCAGACAGAAGCATGCAAGGCACACAGCCTGCTCCGTGAGCTCTAATACAGAATCCCAGAATGTATGGAAAAGATGAGAAATAAGTTTCTGTTCTTAAGGGTCTTTTATGTTTTTATGGGGAAAGTTGAGACTATGGGATAGATATAGATATTGCTGGCCCATATAGTCATAATTAAAAGTGTTATGAATTTTAAAAAAATATTTTTTTTTATTTGACATTTTCCAAACGTTAAAATTCCAATTACACTTTTACAGCTTTCTGTTATCGGTATTTCTTTTTTCTGATTTCGTGTTTTCCATTTTCCATTCTATTATTTTATACATATTCTTCTTTGTTTATTTTGCCATTTTTACAATATACATCTATATACGATATTTCCATCTCTACTGCTTTCTAAATATGTGCCATCTCTTTTCATTGTGTTTGTTATGTGTTCCTTAGGCATTGATTTTTACATCTCTTTTCAAGCCTTTAGTTCTTGCATTAGAGTGGTGTTTCTCAAGCGTGGCAACTTTAAGACAGGTGAACTCCAATTCAACAAATAAGTTAACTTTTACGGAGTTTATTATACATATTCATTTTTAATGATTTTTAACTGTATATTTTATTTTATTTTAGCTTTAAAATTATTGTTTGCAGTTCACCCTGCTTATGTTGGTCTACGACAATAATAAAGACTTGATTGATGCAACTTGATAGGTGGATTCTGGGAGTTGAAGTCTTCCTGCCTTAAAATCGCCAGTTGAGAAACACTGGAATGGGGGGAAGAGCAGAGTTCTCAGCATTTTCTGTCAATCTGAGAAGCCAGCAGAGAAAGTACATTGCTACAATTGAAGACCTAGTGCAATTTAATAGCTATCCAGGCCTGGAAGCTCAGATTCGTTCCAAAAAGTGGCATTCATTAAAAGGAGAACTCGTGCATTTTAATAACGGTGCTTTTGAGAAGGAGGAGGATCCATGTCGCGATGTCACAACATGCGGTCTCAATACTCCGAGACCGCGTTGATACTGTTGCCACTGGACGGTCCATTGAGACCTAAACCGTCCCATAGAGACGGTGATCAGGAAGATGAAGCCTTGCTGGTCTCAGTGACATTGCAAAGTCCCTGATCGACCCAAGGGAAGTGCTTCAAGCCAGCGGTAAACAGGCAGCCCCCAGACACTCCGGAAGGAAGTGAAAAGAGAAAATGAGTCCATCTGGTGAGGTATTTTTTCTATTTTGCGAAAGACTGCCCAAAGAAAATTTTCTTTAAAGCCAAATTAGATCCTTAAGCAAAAGAATTGAGTGGTGAAATAAACCCTAATTGGATTGCTGTGGAAAGCTTTTTTTTCTTTGTAACTATTCTTTGTGGATTGAAGTGCTCGCAATGTTTCTCATTTCTCCTCTTAAAGTGAACGGATTGATTTTTTTTTTCTTCTGCTTTTTGTTGCTTTATTTTTTGACTTCTGGATTAAAACCTTCCTTCTTATTTTAACAATTCTTCCTACTACTTTCACTAAAAGAAATCTAAAGAACTTTGTTTCCTATAAGCCAGAGATAAATATTAGAAAGTGAAAAGTAGCACACTGCCACTCAGAGGTTGGGTTTTTTGAAACAACTGACTTTGTAGCTGAAGGGTTTGCAACTTGTTTACAGAAACAGATAAAGAGCTAAGGGCATGAATTGTTTTCACAGGTGCCTTTGAGAACTATTTTGGCAGGGGAAAGAAAGGGGGGAAAAACAGAAATCCTTCTCCTTTGAAGAACATAAAAGAACTTGTGTTCAAATCAATCTAAAATAAAAAAAAATAAAAGAGGCCTGGAAGGC